ACCTTTGAGATGGTCACTTAAATGTTAGCTATGTCATATTTTGATATAACATAATTAACGTTTTGATATATTTTGACAACTCATATTTTGATATATTCTTGTAAATCTCGATAACTGACTGTAATATTATGCAGATTGCATCACAATTGTTAGGGATTGAGTACATAACTTTGGCAGAGTCAAAATACTAAAATATCTGTTCCCTAAAGCAGCCATACTGATGAATTCTCCAAGTACAGTCATTAAAGTAAAAATTATTCGAAGTTCTAAAAATTACATAACGTAGAAATTACACAACCATGAAACTTTCTAGTACAAAAGTTTTTTCATAATTAATCTCTTCGGAATAATTCATTTTCGCTCTTTTTGGCAACCAGACAGGTATACACTGAAATTATTCGAAGTTCTAAAAATTACACAACGTAGAAATTACACTACGATAGCCGGGAAGCACATGCACAAATACAATAAATATGCCTCAACACAATTAGTATGATGATTTGGTTTTTGCTGATTTCAAAAACATAAACAGCTAAATGCAAACTTTGCAAGGTCCATCAATATTTTCGACTGAAATTTTGGAACATCACTGTTGCAGTCCTGATAGTCAATAAGGCTTTATATTCAACACCAACACAGGGAGAAGAGAAGAGAAGAATTACCTCAGTTTACTTCCTCAATCTTCATCATTTTTTTGTTCCACATAATCGGTCACAACAGGTGAACTTCCGAGAGTATTAATTTCCATATCACATTGTTCACTACCATCTACATTTGCTTTAGCACTTGCATAACTCACAGCACTGGTTTCTTCGCTAACACTGATTGCTTCACATGAGTCATCCGACTCACTGTAAACAGTTTGCTGAGGAGAGATCAAAAAATTATGAATTCTGGACTAGAAGTGTGTTTTTCCTAACTGAAAAATGGAAAATCTAAATAGTTAGGAAAATGGAAAAATATATTTGAAAAACAGTAGATGGGTAATGTTTTTCAAATTTATTCTGTTAGAATTCACAGCAGATAAATTACTAAACGTTAATAAACAGTAAATATTTAGCTGTTTAACCTTGTATCATCAGGGAGTGAAGCTGTGGTTGTATTCCAATCCGTATGGTATATTATATTAGGTGCATCCACCAACCTGAAATAATTGATTCATCTTTTTGCATAAGTCTCCATGGTATACGAAGCATGAAAAATCATGATGGTTCTGTCAACCCGAGCAGTTCACACATAAATTTGTGCAAGTCATGTATCAAAAAATAAATAAATAGTTGACAAAAACAAACAGCACAAACAATCAAGTTATAGAAGATACCTTGAAATTCTTCGAATGAAGGACAGCAAAACATAACGAACCCCTCAATAAGTTCATCATTCGATAAACTGTTACGGTCAATAACAACAAAATCAGATCCTGACGATGATACCGAAAGACTTTCTGTACTATTATTCAGTAAATGTTCCTCGATTGCTTTTTCCATGTCCCAATTTAATGAATTTAACAATGACAGGGCTGCTTCCGTATCATGAATTTTTGTTACTGCCTAAATGACATAACCGATGAATTTATTATCGATAACCACTCATGAACTAATGCAAGAGGCACGGCATGCACGCTCAAACGAATGGGAATAATTTTAGAACACATAATAAGTTAAGGAAAAAGAAATGGTGTAGCTAGCTTTTTGTTGTAAATAGATCTTTATACTTTTCTCTGAAATAACTATTTTCTGATAGATACAACACCTTCATTGGGGAATGTATAATTTTATGTGCCATTCATTTGCAATTTTATTGGGTCCCAAATTCCGACATGTTATTATTTGTTTGTCCAAAATGTTAAAGGAATTTTACTCTGTAAAAACTTCACATCCTTTCACAATATATACTTCGGTAAGCTACAGAAGCCTAGAAACAGAGAAAGCGTGAAACGGTAGCAAGCAAACTATTAAAGATAATATCGAACATTGTAAAGAACCAAAAATCAAATTTCGATAAACTTCATCGTCATAACCTAATACATGACAAGATTACATTTTAAGGACATTTATGACACAAAAGAGATATACTTACCAAAAAATGATCAAGTTTCGACAACTGCCATTCTTTAAAATCAAGTGAGTCTTCTTCCATTAATATATGTCAGAAAAGAATTGAAAATGAACTGAAATTGTCGAAGCTTTCCAAGAGAGGGTAGATTGGAGCAAAAGAAAAGTGAATTTAAGTCCAAATTAAACTAAATATATCTTCTTTAATTAGTATATTTGTAAAAACAAATAACGAATATACAACCGTTTCATCCGTTAACGTTAAGTCCTGCCATTTTCACCTATTTTACTTTTTTCCTAGATATTCCAAAGAACAAGTTATTACAAGGATATAGCTGATAGCTTTCTAATTGCAATATATTTTTAAATGAACTTCCCAAAGCTCTATTGAAGTACTTGCGGATTCTAAAAATGCACAAACGTTTCTACACAGCTACCTCGATTTTGAAGAGAAAAGCAAGATATCGAAGCGTAAATATTTCGACCGAAAGTTTTTCTCCTGGGACAAATATCCCTTACCTTGTTAATAAAAAACTAGGTGTTCTGCCAATACTTCGAAGTTTTCCTTGGCTCAAAAACAGAATAAAGCCTATTATTTAAAAAATAATTTCTTCGATTTCTATGCAGTGTACGAAAGAAATTATCACTATCGAAAAAAAGCCGTTCGAACAAATATCTCAGCCTATTAACGCGAAAGAAATAATGAAATCCAGACTATGACCAATTCTAACATTACTGCCTGATTTACTTCCTCCGGTTAGAACTGTAAAGTATTGATACCGAAAAATGAATGGCAGTAAAAGCATAGGAGATGACAATGAGGTCAATTACTATACGGGTAACATAACAGTGAAATAAAATTTATTGAATTAAGTGAACGAATATGCAAGACATAACAAAATAAACAGTGATGTTATCATCACGAACACTGTGTGCTCCTGATATATCAAAATATGAGTTGAATACATAACTAATATTTAAGTGATTATCATATACTTTTTATATATTTACTTTTATATATTTTATACTAACATATATTCATATACTTAATGACTTTAAGTATATGAA